TGTCGGTGTTGAATCCCATCCTATTCTCATCCGCCCACCCTTGTAACCTGTCTAGGTCTGATTGCAGCCTATTCCTCCCTTCTAACATGCCCACATCCCCCCACATCTTAGTGTCATCAGCAAATTTGAACAGGGTGCTTTTCACCCCCTCGTCCAAGTTGCTGATGAAGATGTTGAACAGTGCGGGCCCGAGGACCGAGCCCTGGGGGACCCCACTGCCCACATCCCTCCAGGTCGAAAACAACTTGTCCACCACCACTCTCTGGGTGCAGCCCTCCAGCCAGTTGGCAACCCAATTGACTGTGAGCCTTACTGAGGCCAGTGGGACTCTTTACAGTGCTCTGGACTGCTGAAGTGGAGCTTATCCCTTGGGCAGGATCTCCAGCACCATGCTCAGTGGGAAATGTCTTGCTTTCTGTTTTGCGCCAATTTTAATATATGACTGAATAACAACACCAACATGACTTAGCAATCTGATGAAATAGGAAAGAAACCTGCATTATTATTAGTGAGGTCTTATTACCTCTTGCTTGCAAAAAATATTTTTGATCATTTAGGCTTGATGCCTGGTTAACAGCATCTCCCATTCCCCCCCAAGTCTACTGGGAGGGAAAGGCAGAACTAGTCATGCCAAATTGGTCCTGTACGTTACTCATTTCAGAGAGAAGCTTTTAGGTCTGATCCAAATCCTCCTTAAGTTAATTGGACTCTTTCAACTGATCACAACCAGCTTTGGATCAAGGCTTTAATCTGTAGCAGTTAGCCTTACAATAAAAGAACCACTTGAGTGGATTTCATTGATTCTTCACCTCCTAATATATGTGAAGTTAGATGTCCTCTACTTCCAAAGCCTAATTTGCCTGCTGTACAAGAGCTGGAGGATTCACATCAATGTTGGTACAGGAACAAAAAAGATAATGTGCCACAGAAAATATTTGTTATCCTTATTTATTTAATAAAGAAACATAATAAACTTGACTTTTTCCAGGTACAAAGAGCTTCATATGTCCTGTGATATTGGCTATCTTTCCCTTGCTCTTTTTATAGTTTGAATGATTCATGCTGTACTCTTTATTGAACAGATCAACAGAAAATGACAGCGCCCATCATGCTTATAGTCAGTATGCGCCATCTATCCAGTCAATAGCTTTAAACAATATCACTACATTGGGAGGTTGTACCATTGCTATATTGCAATCGATATCTCTGTTAGCAAAGACTTGCCGATAAGGTTACCTGAAGTTTTGAAGGGAGATCTGCATATAATACAAATATAGTAATTATGCTTCAGTGCTAAAGAAATGTTCCAGAAAACAATAGAAAATCCAATAGAAAAACCAACATTCCATTTACAAAGCTTTGGAAACTAATTTACAATTTATTTTTTAGAAAGTTGTACTGTAAACAGCTACAGTTAAGACCCTCTTTCAGATTCACTTTACAGCTTTGGGGTAGGACACAGTACAGTTTGTAATTACATTGATACTATAGGGTCTCACAACAATGAAAATAGATATTTAGCTCAGGGATGATATGACTGGTGGAAGAGCTCTCTTGTAGTAATGTTATCCATGGCCAGCTAATTTTCCTATTACATCCCTCTCGTTATTTGGTTTCAGTGATTTTTTATTATATTAGGAAGTTACAATTTAATATACTATCTGCTAAGTAAAGTAACAAATAATTAAAATAGCAGTAAAAGAATGTGATCAACTTATCACTGCCACATGTAAGCTAGCAATTTTTTTGTTCTATGATACGGTTTTGGTGTATGGAAAAATAAGATGAGAAATACCCATTCACTTAGCATTTTTCCTTTTTCATTTTATTCTGAAACCTTGAAAAGCAAATAATCCTCCTACTAGTTGTCAGCCAATAAGTGTTGCTTTGTTCAGCATGTACTAGTTTCTGATTAAACTTTCTGCAGTTAGAGGCAGCAGCTCATTTCTAATGACCAAATTTCTCTCAGAGAAGAAAACATCTTTACCAGTAAATCATGTCATTTGAGTGCCAGCCACTCTTAAAAAATTCATATGATACATACATATAAATATAAAACTTGCATACTCTTTATGGGTGTTATGTACAATCAGAATAAAATTACAACATAAATACACATAGACTCTGCTCCTCTAATTTGAGATGGCTTGAGCAAAATTTAGTAAGGGATAGGAGAAAAAGAACATTTTCACTCCAAAGAACACATCTGGAGTAGTTCCCTTAACTTAGAATCTGATTACGTACAAAATTCAAAGGCAACAAAATCCTTAAAGGAAAAGCCCTATGGAATATGCAATAAATACAAGGTTAAGAGGACAAGAGAGGATGTTTATAATAATACTTATTAGAGTGCCTTCCATGCCCTCATAGCACTTTGTAATCATTCAGTCTTACACCTTTGTGAGGTAGGTAAGTATTATTATCCCCATTTCATAGATGGGTAAACCGAGGCACAGAGAGGTTAAATTATTTGCCTAAAACTCACATAGCAAGAACCATGAATAGACTCCAGGAATCCTGACAGCAAGTCACCTGGACTAACCGATAGACTAGTCTCACAATTGAATGCTCCTCTCACTGGATGAAGATAATGGACTTATATATTATATTTATATTATATCTATGTATATATATATACATACATATATACATATACATATATACACACACACACACACACACGCACGCATACACAGAATTTTTTTAACATATTCTGATTCACTTTGTCAATAGATCATATGGTGACAAGAACATTTCATTGCAACATTGTCTTGTTTTTGGATATCTTGAATTCTTGTGTACAACTCCATGTGCATTTTGACTCCTTTGTAAGCTGGGAAGTAACTAAATGTTAGCTCTGGTATACATTAAATACATTCTTCATAATTTGTTTCTCCAAGGTGAAAAACATGGCTGCTCTCCCTTTTAGTGCAATGACTTATTACTGACTCTTCAGCCAAGATTTTCCAAGAAGGCCAACCAAACCCCAGTACCATGAACTTAAAGATCTCAAATAGAGGACATGCCCGTAACCATGAACTTGTCTCTTTGTATTCCACAGACACTTCCACATATTCTACGAAGACTGAAAGGTTGATCATTTGTTTTTAGAGCACAAACCATTAAAAATGTCCTGAAGCACTTATAATGGGACCCTGTTGCTGTTCCTTCTTTGACCTGGAGCCAACTGACATGTCAGCTACAAATATTTCTTTGCTTGTCTTCCCCGGCAAAGATCTTCTTGCTTTCTTGATCCATTAGATTTCTATTGCTAATTTTTATACTGTTAGCCCTTCTCCAGTAATCTAAGCGCACTCTCTAATACAATGAAGGATAGAAAGCAAATAGAAAGAATTCTAAATCTCAGAACATTTGTGCAGACCCTTAGGCAATTCCCCTCCCACTGCACCGATAGCATGGCAAGAAGCTTTCTGCATTGAACAACCTGCGTCAAAGCATTTTGGAGTAATATTGATGCACACAGCTTGCAAACAAGCATGCTTGGCTCAGTGTCACTGAGGAAAATGTCCCACTCGCTCAACAAAACTGTATCTGCATAGACGGGGCTTTGGCACCCTGTCCACCCAACTACCACGTGATACACTATTACTATGAGACTTTGATTGCAGTGTGCAAAGCAAATTCTTGAAACGTACTAAAAAATTAGTGCTTTTATTAATAATTTTACAAGCAGAATCCATTACTGTCTAATTTCCTGTAAGATAGAACAAGCCATTTCTTTCTTTTTTTTTATTTAACATTACTTTCTTCCTCCAATGTTTTAATTACTGCTGAGCAGCAGTTACATGTCCCAAATGGCAGGTGATATTTTAATAAACACTTGAAATGTTGTTGATTCAATATTTTACTTTGCAACAACTTTCCTCAGTGTCTGATGGGAGTCTCACCAATTCCTGTTACCTTGATTCTGAGTTTATGATGTACAATGTAAGGATGATCTATCTCCATGGAAAAAGAGACGATTATTTGATTTAAGTAAAAAAATATCAAATATAATAAATTTATGAAAGACCATTCACAACATATACAATAAGTGTTACAGTTTGCTACAGCAGCTGTGATATATCTTTTTAGATATATATCTTTTTAGATATACATATACCTTTTTAGAATGCAAGGTCATACATTGCCATAAGTAAACACACTAATATAAGTAAGACCTTAAATGAATGTATACAGCCAGGCTTTATCTGTGGATAGATATACACAGTGTTTACTGTTTTACAGTCTAGCATGTTCATGATCACACCACTGATATAACAGCTGTGACCCTGCACAGACTCTACCTGTGCATATATAAACATTGAGCAAAGTTGAAAAGAGCAGGGCCAATGGTTAGATAATGTATTGACTCCCATCGTTAAGGGTAAAAACTCTATTGTTTCTTTTGCAACTAATGTTTAATAAGAAGGCTGCTTCCATTGTTGTGTAGTTACAGCGTTACATTCTGTAAACGGTATTTTAAAGCGGTCTAAACAAATATTTAAACAATGGATTCTTTATCTCTGTCCGGAGATAACAGACAATCTATAGCTTCCTCACTCTTGCTAGAGTCTGTCATTTTTAGCTGGAGGTTGTCACTGGTGGCTCTTGTGACACTGTCATAGGATGGAGGGAAAGATGTTGAGGAAACAGAGTTTGATTTGTCTATGGGCCTACCATAATTTTCATTCATCATAAAGGCAATAAGACCTTCCTTCTCGGGGGCACCTTCTTCAATGATGTTGCCATCACAAGTTCTGTGACGGTATAAGTATGAAGCCTGTTTCAGAGAACGTAGAAACAAATGCCTTCGATACGCCCGCTGGATAACAACGGCAGAAACCTCCTCTTGTTTCCGCCTCAGCGTGGTTGTGATTGGTTCATAGGAAATCTTAGAAGGGTTGGCAGCCATAAACTTTTCCTCCATCTGTATTTTAAGGGCATCCATCTCTCCAGATTCTCCTAGCACCTTTTTGGTAAAAGCAAACAAAATATCCAAGCAGTGGATCCTGTCTCCACTGACCATGGGAAGGTCCATTGCTATGAGCTTAATTTTGTTTGGTTTTGGTATGCGTAAAGGTTCTGACAGTGCATCTGCAAAGTCTGAAAGTGCAGAATACTCAATAAACTGAGTTGCTTCAGGATCAAACTTCTCCCAGATTTCATAAAACATATCAAAGTCATCCTCGCTTAGAGGCTCTGTGCTTTCCTCAGTGGCCACACTGAAGTTCTCTAAAATAATGGCTATATACATGTTTACAACAATGAGAAACGATATAATGATATACGTAACAAAGAATAAAATCCCTATAGCAGGGGTTCCACAATCTCCTTTTGAACCATTTGCATTTAAGATGTTTGGATCACAATATGGTGGTCCAGTGTTTAAAATAGGATTGAGAAGCCCATCCCAGCCAGCTGATGTTGTGATTTGGAAGAGACAGAGCATGCTGTTACCAAAGGTTTGGAAGTTGAACATGTCATCAATCCCATGCTCCATCTTAACGTAGGCAAAGTTAGCCATGCCAAAAATGGCATAAATAAACATGACTAGAAAAAGCAGGAGACCAATGTTGAACAGAGCAGGAAGTGACATCATTAAGGCAAAAAGGAGAGTTCTAATTCCTTTGGCTCCCCGTATAAGTCTTAGGACCCGGCCAATCCGAGCCAAGCGAATGACTCTGAAGAGTGTAGGAGAGAAAAAATATTTTTGAATGATGTCAGAAAGGACAGTGCCTTTAAGAAAAGAAAGAAAAAAAAAACAATTAATACCCAAGCCGTGATTCCAGGTGTATCTTAAAGTGATCATCTTAAATTGTCAAGAAGAACAGGAGAAGCTCCTCCACACTGTTCTGCTAACAGCTATCTCGGCTGCTGTCTGTGGGGAACAGTCTACAGGGGTGATGGCTTGGTTGGATAGTCATGCCCATTCAATTCTCAGGCTCTTTGCTGAATCTATAAAAAGGTTTTATAAAATGTACACTGACATTTTGTTGGAAAAGAGGAAGCCGGCTATTATGAGTTTGGAACTGGGATTAATTAATGCAAATGACAAACCGCCACTTCTCCACTGTACTCTATGGGTTCCCCTGAGCTGCTAAAGGTACACAGATATTCGTACTATTTTCATGTTATGCAAAGATACTTCTATATAGAATGATAGAGCATCATGGAGAAGTAGGGCCGGAAGGGACTGCCACAGGTCATCTAGTCCAACCCCCCTACCTTTGGATCATCCCTATCCAATCCATAATCTGAACTCTATGTAAGACTACCATCAACCCTGACACAAGACAGACATAACATCCTAACACATGTCACAGGTTAAGCAGGCCATGGCAGCTAATGTCCTGCTTCCATAAAATATTGTCAAGATACACTCAAGACAGCCTGAGAAGAGGGCCATGGCCCCCACTAGAGGAAGGCAAAACCCCCCAGAGTTGGTACTCATCTAAGCATGGGGTAAAATTCCTTCCTGACCCCCAAATACAGCAATCAGTCTGCCCTCGAGTGGAGGGGCAAGACCCTCCAATCAGGAACCTGGCTTTGGTTCCAGCAGGAGCATTGGCACATCCAAGTTGAAACCCCCAGCCTGATCTAAATTATGATGATTTATATGATGTATATGTTACTATTTAAGACCCAACCCTACAATTTTGTTTCCCACTATGGAGCTGAGGATGACCATCACTTAACGGGAAGTCCTCCACACTATGTCATATGAATAATTTTCCTCTGGCCAAACAATTCTCTATTTCCTCCCTTTTATTTGTTTGGTTTTGGTCAAATTTTCTGCTTTTCAGATTTACCTACCCACAATGGATAGAATCACAACAACAAAGTCAAAGATATTCCAGCCGTTGGTGAAGTAGTAGTGTCTTAAAGCCACCATTTTAATCATGCACTCTCCAGTGAAGATAGCAACAAAGAGCATGTTGATTATATGAAGGATGTGGACTTTTTCATGACTTTGGTCATCTGTTTCTACCATCATGGTGATCATGTTAAGGCAGATGAGAATCATGATGGTGACATCAAAGGCTTGCTTTGTGACTATGTCGAAAATAAAACCTTGGTATTTGTTCTGAAATAAAGTAAAAGATCATTACTATTGCACTCAACACTTAATGACAATTTAGTTCCCCTCCTCTCACAAAAGGACTCTAGAGGATAATGTGTACCACTGTTTATACAGACTCACATCAATGCAAAGGAGGTGGCAGACTGGCTAAATTTTCATTTAATGCTAAGGCTTTTTTTGGTCTAACAAGAAAGGTAACAATTATAGAGACAGTCTACACATTGTGAAGAATTGTGTATTATGGATTGGGATTTGAGGGCTTAAGTTCATTTAATAGTGGCCACAATAGGCAACTCCAAAAAAAATGTTAGCTGCAAATCATCACTGTAATGCAGTGACAGTTACAAGACACACAATTTACTGTGTTGAAACACTGGCTAAATCTAATACATAATTACAAAAGTGGGGAGCGGGGACAGGCCATTGAATTCTGTGTTGAAAAAATATTCACTGACAATATGTTTCAAAGGGAAACCCTTAGATATTCTTACCACTGGCCTGGGGATGGGTTTTTGTGGTTTTTTGGATCCCAATTTTTTCATTGCATTGTAATACTTTTTCTGTTCTTCTGTCATAAAGATGTCTTGCCCACCTAAGTACAGGAAGATAGTACTGCTATTATTTTTTGATGAAAAAAATACAGCAAAATGAAACAAGTCTAAAGTTTTGGCAATCTTCATCCTTCCCTTATTTCTTATTTTTTCTGTCTTTTTGGTAGCTTTTATCCAGATGCCTAATAAGGACCTAAACGAGAGTGGTATTGTAGGCAGCTATCTGGAAGAAGGTGGGAGCTAGTGGGGAGTAATGAGTGGGCATGTCTACATGTGCTTATTAATGTGCTTGAATAAACTTTGGAGCTTATTGCTTTGTTTATTGCTCCCAGGCACACATTTTTATGTGGATCCAGGACCGCAGCACTGTGATCCAGGGCAGAGCAGCCCCGGCTGGCAGGGACCTCAGGAGGTCAGCCTGTCAGCCTGGGGCTGCTCCCCCAGCTCAATGTGCTGTGAAGGGGCTAGCTGGGGCACGTGGGTGCTTTCACAAGAGATAAGCTGGAAGGCTTCCCTGCACTGGAGCCCCCTCG